GGGGTGAACCTTGGGGCCGAGGCTGAGCTCATGGCTAGACACTGCCGAGGGGCCGGGGGCACTGAGGCTCCGGCCAGACAAAGATAGAAAGCAAGGACCTCGGTAAACAAAAAGGCTTTTGCGAAGAATTAACACCTTCTCAAGCCTGCGACAACACACACAGGGGTTTCACCCACCAGGTCTGGATTTGGGGCATTCTGTGTTTTACCTCTGCAAAGAAAAGGTGCTGCCTGTGTCTGCTGGACACTGGCTGAGCAGGGGACCCCCACAATTCCCTCACCTCTTTCTGGCGCTTTTTTTTTTTTTTCTCTCGACCCACTTCAGAGAGTTTCCCTCACCTGGGGATGTTCCAAAAACTCATTTTTGGAAATGCTTTAAGATACAAACTACTAAATACGACATTAGGATGCTTTGGTCACTAGTTGCTGCTTGTGTTATGTCTCAGACTTAGAGAAATATGAAGGTGTGGGGGAATCCTGCTGTTCTTGTTGCCATCCACACGTTCTGGTGCACAACAGTCAAGAAAACATCAGCCAAGGATTGCTAGAGGTCAGAATGGGGAGTTGGATTTAACCCCCGTAAGTCATAGCTCTGTCAGGTCATCCCACATGAATTTTCAGAACAGCAAAGTCTTCTCCTGCTGATTTAAGTATATAAATGTGTTAGTTTGGACATAGATTAAACATTTTTCATGAGTACCATGTCACACGGATCTGTCAGGAGCTCTTACTGGACTGTAGCAGAAACCAATCTCAAAGTAATTTATTAACATTTTGAGGCTATCTGAAGGTCACGTGTAATCAAGATTTGAGGCAAAATGAGGGGGATGCTTGTTTAAAGCAAAGAGGAGTTTGACTAGCCTTGGAATCATTCAAACTACTGGGGCCAAAAGCTTTCCCAGCAGCAAAGGAGGCTCCTGCTGCCAGTCAGGGTAACAAAACCCTTCCACAGCTGAGAAGCAGAAGGTGCAGGTTCATCCGAGCGTTTCCAGCTCTCATGCCAATGACCAATAAACAATTTTAGGACTTTTTTTTAAAAAAAAAAAAAAGTCCGTCAAAAGATTTAGAGCCTCAGATGCTGAAGTCAGATGACTTCAGGAGGTACTCAGTTGCCATTAAAAACATCTAGTCCTTGTGATTGCCCACAATCAAAAGTCAAGTTTTATATAGGGGGAAAAAGCTCCAGATCTGTTGCATTTTAAATTTAATCTGCTGGGTTTGGCTGTTAGTTTTTGTGTAAGTGAAGCTGGCGGAACGAGGGAGGGGTGGACTCAATCAGTAGATCTGTTTTTTCATTGTGAATTGTCATCACCAACAGTAAAGTCTCAATGCCACTTGGCTGAGATTTAAAACATGGAAGAATCAGAAGCCTCCTCAGAGTTACAGTGTGTTCAATCCTTGTACAGAAGACACTGATTTCTTGGGGGTTTTTTTTACCTTTCTCCTCAAAATGCAAAAGTGTTGATTTTCCATAGAACGTAAAATCAAACATCCCGTCATTCCCGACCCACATTTGCCACGGGTCAAGTAATTATGAATGAAAATGACACTTTGTTTATATGAGTTCCATTTATGACAGAGATTAAGTTATGAAATTTGTACTCCTGGCATCTTATTAATGCTGCTCTGCTGTAAAATTCCTCAGGCAACAGGCAAAACAATGACTTAAAACTGCAACAAGATAATTACCTTACAATGCAGGCATTTTGTAGATAGAGCTAGCTCCGGATTTGAAAATACAATTTTTTAGGACCTTATCCTTTATATAAAAGGCTGCAGAACACTTACAATTACTTTAATTTATTTCCATGACATTTTGGTTTAGATCCAATCAATTCCTAGCACATTAAGGAAAATCCTGTCATTATTCAATAACGGGATTTAGCTATTCAAAGCAATTTTCTTAACCTTTAATTCCGAAAAGGTAAGTCTTCAAATTTTAGCAAAATTAACTTGGTGCCGTGGTGAAACACTTTGATCTGTACAGTATCTCTGTTGCATCTGTTGTGCCAGGATGCTTTGATGAATGAAAGAAATGAGCAGATTCAGCACTTCGCCTTCCAGCTGAAAGCCCAGCCTGCAGAGGAGTGATGTCCTCGCTGCTGTGAGGCCACGGAGGAAGGTTCGGAAGCATCTCTAAAGCAGATGGCATAAAGTACATCTAAACCTTGGTGGATGCTCTTCAAAATGACGTGATTTGGTTTAGCTTCCTCTGCTTTCAAATGGAAGTAAACAAAGCTGCCTTCTGCTTTGTAATAATCCACACTAACGTCACAGTTCAAGACCATGAACTTCCCCAAGCGTCCCTTTGTCGGTAACACCTGATGTGGAAGTTGCACAACAGATTAATTCAGCAAACGAATTTCCTTTACAAGTGGAGCAGGTCAAACTGCGGCAACAGGAAGAGATCTTTACAGTGCATTTCATCCTTGTCAGTCCTGCAAAGCCAGTACAGGCCAGAGGGGACATCTTTACCTGATCATCAGACGTGCCGTTACGCCCAGTGAAGGAATCCCCTTCTTGTATTCCAGTGCTCTGAAACTTGAACATCAAAGTCACCCTCTCAGATACTCGAAAAAAAAGATGGGCAACAAATCTCCCATCTGTAATATCACCTGTTCAACTTACCGTTAACGCCCCCAGAACCCGTCTTTTTCCCGTTGTGGTTAGGCAGAGAAGCTGGGGGGGGACATCCAGCAGAACCCACTTCCCATTTGATCTGGAGAAGTGACTGTGAGGGCCGAGGTGCGTGAGCTTGGGCACCAGCCAGTCGGCCTGCAAGGGCGCTGCAGTCTCTCGCTACTCTGCACAAGTTCCCCATCCTCTGCCTGCCCGATTCGCGGGGGATTAACTACAAACCAGCGATCTGCACTGCCTGTAGCTTGCGGCAGCTTCTCTGAGCCCCTGCAGCGTGTGCACCGCCTTGGCAGCAAGCAGAGCGCAGCACGTGCACGTCCCCCGATGGTGTGACAGCACCCCGGCGTTACCCCCGGCTCTGGGCACACCCCAGCGCCCCGTTTAACTGCCCACCAGTGCCACTTACCAGAACCACGTAACGTAACGCGGGCGGACAGCTCGGTTAAGCAGAAATGGATGGTGCTGCTGTAATGGAGTTATCAGTGACAGATCCCTCCTACGCAGCTTCCAGGTCACACTCGCTTAAGCAATGATAAACGAGCATGAAACACCGCGAGCACAAAACAAGATCATAAATACTCGATTCTTAGTTAAAAAAAAACCCCGACAACTTCAAGCAGCTGCAGCGTCTTGCAGTTTCCATGATTTTATGGATGTTCTCGCTCTCATAAAAAATGTACCACGAAAGAGTGAAAGGAGACTTTTTGCAGATTTAAAAAAAAATTAACTGAAACACACACACACACACCCCGCCATCCATCCATCCAGAGCAAACACTGCATCACCTACACGGGCTAATACACAAATACATCAGTGAACCTTACAGCAGCTTTTGGTATCCCAAGGTCTGACATCCATCTGTCCGTCCTTCTGCCACAGAAAGCTGCTTGGGCCAAGAGGATGCAGACGGGCACGTGAATGTCACAAGTGCTCGGGCTCTGTCACCTGGGAGACCCCGATCCAAGCGCTGACCTGGGCGGGGAACCAAGGGTTTGCAGTGGAGAAAAATGGGAAAGGTCTGTGGGGGCAGCAGCCCTTGCCTCCGTGCTTTAACCCTCAGGAGCCATCTCCGCAGGCTCCGGGGGCTATTCAGAATTAATAAAGCATATTCCTGAGGGCGGCTGTTGATTAGTCCGATCAGGGGAGCCTGGGCAAGAGACTGGCAGCGTGAGCACCCCCTGCTCACCGTACAACACGGAGGCAGCAACCCCTCAGCCAGCCATCACGCTCCCAGCGGCCTGTCAGCCCGATGATCCAGCTCTGCTCAGTGCCTCTTGCAGAGAACGACCCCACTTGGCCATTTACACGAGAATTAAATCTAAAGCCAGAAAGGACAAACCACGCTGGAGGATGAACTGAGGCCTGGGCGGCAGCAGGCAGCACGGGACGCCCTGGCAGCATTAACACTGCCACTTCAGTGAGCTCAGACACGTCTAAAACCTTGGGAGCAACCGGAAATTATATTTTACCTTCATTTTCTGTAATACTAAAAAAAAAAACCAACAACAAAACAAACCCTTACTGGCTTAAAATAACATTTTTGAAACACAGTTCTAAATCTTTTCATTTGGAAGGATGTCAGTGCCACTTCTACAAACCATGCAAACATTTATGCAACACGTTCATTATCGGTATTTTCTTTGGGTTTTATTTGCTTTTATTCAGTTGTATTTCCTTCATGAAGTTCAAGGAATAATCACTCACTCGCTTACCAAAAGCAAACTGGGAATTCACCCTGAAATGTCCCCCTCGCACACAGGACATCTCACCCTCATGCCAACACCGCCCACTTTACAGCAGTCACCTTCCTTTTTACATTGCTGTGCAGACAGGAGCAACCATTACAATATTGTACAGTAAGAATAAATTACTTCACCATATTTTATGTGTCAACATACCGGAATTACTAAATTCACTGCTAGAACTCCGTAGCAGTGTGCCATTTACATTCAAATGTGCTGGAATTTTTGTGTCCTGGAAAGTATATTAGGAGACAAAAATCACACAGTATTGCTTCCGTCAGAATTTTTTAATTGTATTCCTACAAAAAAATCATGTAAACATTAGCATACAGATCCAGAAAAATCAATATAATATAATGGTGCATAAACTGTAAGTTTAGAGTAATGTCAGGAACACTTCAACAGTTTATAAATTAATATATACAGGAATGGGTACTCGTCATTATATAAGAACACCTCAGAACTGAGGGATTTGGGTGCAAGAGCTGCAAAACTACACAAGTGCTCTGGCACCAAACTTGACTGAGGCAACACTGCAGTCGGCATGACTGCCTGTTGGCGTTTCATATTGAGCATCCAATTTAGCTGCTAAAAAGTATAAAAGAAAAGTTTTGGTAGGAAGTTTATTTGAAATCATAGCAAACATCCCTAAAGTAATAAAACCCCCCAAAAAAGGGAATACTCCATAGACAGGTTTCTCAAAGAGGGGAACTGAAGCTTGCTGGGCTGCACAACGAGCTCAGCAGCAGCTCTGCTCCTCGCTGCTCCAGAGCACCAAAAGGCAGCTCCAGCTAAAGAAAATGTTCCGGGCAGTTCATCAACGGACAGGGGCAAGTGGAGGAAAGAAAGAAAGATGCAGAGCACATACTGGGCTGATGCAAAATTCCTGCTTCCACATGCAGCATTCTGGGCAGTTTAGCTCTTTATTGAAGTAGGAAGTCAGGGGAATGTAACACCGTTGTTCATTTGCTAACTCTGGGCTATTTTGCTTAAAAAAACCAAAACAACCACCCCCAAAACTAAGAAAAATATAAATCTTCAGCCTGTCTGTGATCAAAGTAATATTCAAAGTCTTCTTACAGCACCGCCCTTCGTGAGATCAGGGACACCCAGCAGAGCAGAGGCTCAGATGACACGTTAAACAGAATGAGTCCTTTGCCTCTCCTGTCCATACAACCATTATCTCAGAGGAAAATAAAATGTATGGTAAACCTATCCCAAAGAATGATCTCAAATAAAAGGCATCCTTCCCCATATGAGAAAATTCTCAGATACCAGTGAAAATACAGACTGTGTAAAATGATTAGGATTATCCTGGAAACTTGATACTGCAAACACTTAACTGGATACCCCGTACTGTGACCTTCAGAGGATCTTCCCAGAGTTAAATGTCATTTTCTAGAGTACAGTTTTATGCCATCTTACTTTCACACATTTTTCACACCTGACCCATCGCCTCCCCTCACAATGAAAATTAATATTGCACCAAAAGATGTGTTTATTTACAACAAATGGGAGGTCTTAGCTAGCCACCAAAAGTTTTTCTGCTCTATTTTCTTCCAGTTGTTTAGGAACAACTTCTGTTCACCTTTTCTGTAGGAAATCCTGAGTAGTGAGGTGAAGAGGTTTGGCAGATAGCACCGATTTTCTATCACTTGTCTTAATTAATGGAGTACATTTATCATCAGCAACGCGTCTAGAAGCACTACCATAGCTGAACCGAAATGCCCAAGTAGAAGCTTATTATGAAACTGTAATTCCTGTTGCCAGAATCTGAGCCAACACTAAAACACCAGGAGCAGGAGAAAAGACTCCTGCTAACTCTGAGGGCACAGCTTGCAAACACAGAAGTAGTCCTGAAATTCCAGCCCAAATCTTTTCCTTGTAATGGATGGGGGTGAAGAAAACTACAGCTGGTGGGTGGAATAGGAAGAAACCCCCGAACTGCTGCGCCTGTCACCTTCCAACCACCACACTCCCCCGCTGCCCAGGCAGCATTAACACAACGGGCAGCACTGAAGGGGTTTATAAACGACCCAAGTGTTTTTCTGTTGCTTCCACCAGGGCAGCTCAAGTAACAAGTGCTTTATTGTCAGCCAGACTGCCAAGAGCTTCCAGCATTTAACTACCACGTTGTGTTTCGGGCTTGGAGAGGTTCTACCTGACATTAGCAGAAGGACTGGCTGGTACCAGAGCCTCTGCTCACTGCATTTCCTGCCACGGTTGTCACTTGCGGTGTTAAACTGGTCAACACAACCTTGACAGACCAGAAAATTTAAGACAGGAACAACTTGGGCCTAAACTTAAACCGGGTTTAAACTACCAACAGACAAACGTTTCATTGGATTGGCCCTGTACACAGACATGGAATAGTTTTGTTACAGATGTATCTGCAGTTTTGTGTAAACTGTTAATGTACCACAGCAACACTGATCTGGCATTCACAGAGACAGTAACAGCACGGGTTTTACACACCTCTTGCCCTCTCTTCATTGTCATCATTCCCATGCCTGAAGAGACACAGGCACAGACTCCTAACAAGACCTCACGTTCTCATCTGTAACCTGTGATAAGTGATATCCATTTCCTCACTCACGTTATCCCATGGGGATCCAATTCCCGCGTACACGCACACTGTGATAAAGGAGAACTGACATGACAGTACAAAGACATCTGACAGACCTTAATTCAAACGGTATCGCCAGTAACAGTGAACCCTGGAGAAACTTCAGATGTACCGAGATGTCTCAAGACCTTGTTCAATGTTACAACAGATAGCACCAACAATATGGTATTGAAGAGTTTCATGTGAAATGTTTCCCTCCACTTTAACTTTGGTCACACTTCTCATTTTCCCACCCTCCCATACTTAATTTCTTCCTCTACTTCTTCACGCTAACTCTGATTTAATAGACAATGCAGTTGTGAAATGCAAGTTGTGAAATTCTCCTCCAGAATCTTTCCATTTTTAACCATTTATTAAAAAAAAAATAGGTTTAAACCAGGACATTTTAAATTAAAGGAATGATAAAGTTGATAAGAACAACGAGGGTACCTTAAGACTGCTTAAGGGGTGATCAAATGATGAGAGTTTTCAGTAAGAATGATCATTACAATGCTCCTCTCTAAAATCATCCCAGGAGTTACGTGGCTGCCTGCACTCCAGCACTAAAGCTGTATGAGAAGTCTAGGCAAGATCTCTGAAAAACAGGCAAAGGAGTACAGAGAAATCTGAAGTCTTTCAGTAATCTCTTGACTAAAATACAAATGTATACCAAAAATCTCCTGCTCTACAAGGTATAATGCAAACCAGATTTACCGAAGAAGCATTTTCTGTACACACATGAACAAGGTTTTCATGTATGAAACCATCAAACAAACAAAAAAAAAAAAATCTTGTCTCTCAAAGATGATGTGGGTTTTTTTGTTTGGGTGTTATACGTAACTACCAGTGCAGTCAATATATATTAAGTTAAGCCAATTCATACATTATACGCAAGTCACACAATATACCAGTGGGAGATGAACAATATTCTGATCAAATACATCTATTTTAATCCTCAAAGCACAACCCTTTCTCTTCATCATCATCATCAGTAGACTCTGCATAGGACTCGATGGTGTTGTATATGAAAGAGTACAGCTTGACATCTGGTCCTGAAGTAGAACAGCTTCTGCATTCTTCATTGTAGTATCTGAGTAACAGCCTGTAAATGTCCCCTTAAAAATAAACAGACATCATTAAGCAGCATGTAAGATCGTGCCACTGAAGTACGTATGACTGCAAGCAAAGACTAGAAACGCCCCCTGACACGGAGTGGCTAGGAACAGCTCTTTGAACGAGCCGCGGAACAGGGGGTAGACAACTGCGCTGGGGAACTGCGGGTTTCCAGGTGTGTTCACACACAGGGCGGGCTCCCTCGGCTCTGCCGAGCTTTGTGCACAAGCTGTCCCCAGCGCAGGCTTGCACACCTATGACAGACACTGCCAGTTACCCAGCTTGGTGCTAGACGTGTAACGCCTACAGTGGGGCAGTGGAGACCCTGCTCTTCTCGTACTGCTGCTGGATAACACACCTGAACACAGCCTGTGGGATCAAGCCAGAACCACTATAAAACAAATCGGCATTAAGTATGTGTAAGCAGATTTTCCCGTTTTAAAGCAGTTTGAGATGTAAAAACTTCTGCAAACCTTCTGTCTACCACAGAGATCTGTATTTTCCAAGTTCTGGAGCATAACTCTTAAAATGAATCAGAAAAGTATTCTGGAAGTCTTCTAACAGATTAACACTGCAGAACAGAAGAGTTCCCCACTCTGGAAACAGGAACAAATAAACCGAGACCCATCTGCTTGTGTTCAGGGCTTGATGTCAGTAATTCCCATTGGACAATTTCCACTTAGAGACATGGCCAAGTCTCTTTGCTGCATGAACAGATTTCTTTATGCTCACCAATAGTCTGGCCTTTCTCACAGAGAAAAGTGTGCATGCTGTAAATATCCCGCATCAGCTCCACATCTCCAAAGGTAAAGTAAACAACATCGCGTCCAGCCTCAGCAGCTGCCAGTATCTGTATTAAGGCTGAAACAACAAAAAAAAAGTTACACACACGAATAAAAGGATTTGCTGAGGGGAAAAACATGACCTGAGTTTACAGCAAATGATCATACCACCCATCTCCAGGTGAAGGCTGCAAAGCAATTCGAACAAAAGGTCAATAGGTACATAAGTATTGCCTCCACTGTTAAAGTAAAGAATACTGGGCACTGCAGCTCAGAGTGTTGACGTATTCTGCTCGAGTCACCAGTGACAGCCACCCTTACTTTCCTGATAAACACTGGGGTTTTGGTCTGTGTCCGCCCCCAGGCAGCACACAGCCACTGTATCCAACAAACGTGCGTGGCAGCGTGAGGCAGCAGAGCACCATCTTACACCCTCGTTCAAGTTGCTTGCATCAAGTCACAAACTGGGGTAAAAAGCATCCATTAGCACTTCACAGTTGCCATCCTCCACCGCCCCTCAGAAGGAATGGAGCCAACCCTTCCGCTAGGTGAGCCCCACGCAGGAGCTCACCCAACTCTTAGCTCCCAAGATGAGATCGATGATTCTGCAGCCTCTTGCTGTGCAATTTAAGGTGCCCATCATACCTATAACAGAAGGAAGCAGCAGGAAATATGATGGCTCATTCTGATCTATAAAAAGTGAGTGGCAATGCCAGGAATGCAATTCAGGTTACTTAACTTCTGGCTTTACATCAAACTTGCTGGACCAAGCTGCATCCCAAGTTCTGTCAATGGCTCATGTTACAAAATAGACTTTTTTCTTTTATTTCCACACAGAAAAACATTAAGTATGCTTCCTATCTTGGAAACAGATTTTTGAAGATTCATTTTGAGACATCACCTGGAGTACTGATCAATGGTCCAAGTGAGCCAAGCTAATGACACACTACAACTGGAGAAAGTGGCTCTGCTCCAGCACATCTTCTCCCTTCTCACCCACCTCCTGACTTTCCTGCAGCTCTCGGGTGTTCATCAGACACCTCAGCCAATTCCATTCACCAACCCACCAGAAAAGTTGCACAACAGAAGAATAAAAGCTAATTGTTTTCTGCTAGATGAGCAGCTGAATTGGCCGAGTGAAGGGTTTGCTAAGAGCCAGAGCTGACGCAAGGGAGGGCACTGGACCACACAGCCAAGAACAGAGAGTAAGAGAGGAAAAACCAGGAGCCTTTTAGGTAGCACCAAACTATTAGAAGGAGGGAGCTGTTCCACCAGCCAGTACTGTGAGCTCGAGCATCCCAGGTGCTCACCATCCGTCACACGTTCATTTCAGGTAATGTTACACCCGTCCAAATTATGGACCTCAGCAACTACTTAATCTACTGCAGCTTGTCTTATTTCAGAGCCTACGGGTGCAGTTCTGATATTAATCCTTTCCTTTTCTACCCAGTAGAGTTAATTAAAATGTGATTAATATTATCTTTTTAAAGATTAATTTTAAATAAAATAGAATACGTACTGTATTACCACCTGCTAGAGGCACTAAATAGAAAGCTGTTCATAGCTCAGCTCATTTTTAAATGGAGACCTAATAAAATACTGCACTCTAATAAAAAAACCCTCTTGTAAACCCATGGCTAAAATAATAAATGATATGATTCACACGTGAAATTAATCTCAATCTGGGAATGATATTTTAATTAAACTACTAAACCAGCTGTGGATTTGGTAAAGCTTCAGTAGTTCAGCTTTTAAAGGGTCTAATTAACTAGCTTGCATTGGGGAACAGAACCTAATGAATCTTATTATTCATTCCAAACAATGAATGCAGTTACACTTTGCAGATGATATTAAAAATGTCCTACTGTTTATTTTGAATTGCTATAAATCTTATGAAATGAGGGTCAGAACTTCTGTCAAGAATCAGGCTTGCCAGTCTTCTGGGCGTTAATGCTACACAACAGCGTGTGACATTTCCATGTCACTGATACGGATTGGAGCAGCCCAGGAAGAGCAGCAGAGCCCACGTACAGGGGTCTGGAGGAATTTGGGGTCTCAAAGGAATTATACATGGGGTATTCCAGCTCAGATCCAAGAGGTGGTATGATGCAAATCAAAGCATTTATTAAATCTTCCTAACATAACCATAATCAGGTATGATCAGATCCTGCAGTAAATACTACTTCTGATATTGATGATCTGCACTTGGCAGCACATTTTATCTAATGGAAAGCAAAAAACAACTGTCAGGAAATCAATAAGCATTAAGAAAAATAGATGCTCAATGAATAGAACACATTAAGAAAGAAAAACTAATAAAGCTGGTAGCCTGATAATTGTTTGTCTCTGAAAAGCAAACTTTAAATACTCTCCAAATGTTTGAAAACAACAAAGAAAAGTAACTTTTTACTTATAACTATATGGATCAGGTTATCAGTTTAAATATCAGGATCCACCAGTTCTTGACTTGATGGGGAAAAAAGTCTTAAACGAATGTAGGCATGTGATATCTGCTGCATTATCAATACTCTTAATTTAAAATAAAAGAATATGAGAAAGTGAGTCATACAGCAGGCAACTCGGGAAGCCTGAGTGACTGAAAACTTCTCTGGCATACAGCAAGAAGCAAAACTAAACATTAAGCACTGTCAGCAAGTGTGTGGAGCCTTGCAAATTACCAGGCACTTTAACCAGCTCTGCAGAGATACACCTTTTAGACTGCTCCAGAAAGGTCAACTGATCGTGTGGCTGAGCACTGCAAACACACACCTCCTGTTGTGGACCAGTGCGGCGTGTCCATGCCTCTGAAGGTCTCCGTGCTACAGGTCCTTTTAAACCTGGTGTTTCACCAGACTTACCTCAAACTTCCCATTGGAAGCAGAATATAAGAACATTTTTATTGTTTAAGGCCACGTTACTCATGGCCTAAAGATTAAAGCTAACGCAGCAGTCCTATGGACAGTTTAACTATTATTCCAATTCTTGGCTAAAATTCAAACAAAACCATAAAATCCACTTGAAAAAAACCAACAAGGCCAAGAACCAAATGTGCTATTTTGACTCATTTGGACATTAATGAATTGCTACAATTTACCTTTTAATCGGGAGTCCCCTCCAAAGGCACCACATCCCCAGTTTCCTGTGGCTATTGCAGAGAGATGTTGGGGTGGGACGTTGGGTCGAGAGAAGCCACAGTAGGCCTGGAGGCAGACAAGAGGCAAAGCTGAAACGGACGGGCAAGCTGGCATCATGTTGTCAAACAAGGAGATTACAGTAACTATTGTCTTCTAGCACGACCAAATTCTAACTGCTTCAATTAGTCATCCTTTAAATTTAAGCTCAATCACTAAATTTAAGGCAAGAAGAATTTTGCCTTATTTGGATCCAAGTTAAAAAAATAGATCCAGGTGCTGACTCCTAGGGATTCTGTCACAGCTACAGGAAACTTGTCGTGATAGCCAGAGCAGAGAGTAACAGCAGATTGTTTCATGTCTGTGGCTTTTTGGCCTATTTAGAATACATGAGAGCTGAACGGCTGCGTCCAGTATTACTGAAATTCCTCAAAACCAAACCTGAAAATAAAATACAAAATCGCATCTTAGAATACAGGTCTAATGCAATAAATGAGGGTAGGAGGAAAGAGTGTGATATTCACTAAGAAATCTTGAGTAAAGGCAGGTGCTTCCACGTGTACAAGAAAGGGTAAGTCTCTTTGGGATTTTCTTCAACAGTATGAAGATTTATTGACTTGGTACAATTTTCCGGTACAGACTGAAGTACCCGCAGTTTCACTCCAATCTGATCTAAGCTGTAAATTCAGACTTCAGACTTCTGTCAGTTAGAATTTAGCAGGGTACCATGATTCAGAGTTTGCATAAGGAGCACTTACACACCATCAGATGCTTCTTGAGCTCTTCAGGCCAGAGCTATTAGCGTGCCTCCTGTCCACAGCACATTTTTATGAAACCAGTGGGCCAAGCAAGCTAGTACTCTGGCTGTGTACACGATATTTCTTCAAGCTCCATCGTCCCAGTGAGGGAAATGGATTTGTGTTCCAACGGGATGCCATTTTCTTTTCAACTTCTACTTAAGGGGTATGTATTTCTCAACTCTCCAAGACATGGAGAACAGAAACTTGTCAGACACAGAAAGAAAGTCAGTCAGCAGTTGGAAGGACTTCAGCAGCAATGAAGAAAAATATTTAAGTAAGTGCTCCTCTAGGATTTTTCACAGCAAATAAAGGATAAAGATAAAACTAATCACTTTTTAATAAGAGACAATGCACCAAATATTTTAAATAGGCTTCACCCAGGAATATGAAATCCTTCTGTGCAGTTTTAAAGCAATACGGGAAGCAGAAGAACTGTTCCTTTTGAGCTACAGAAATGAATCTGGGTTTAAGTTGTACACAGCTTCAAATGTACAGAATCCCGTATTATTTAGAAGTTGTGTGATGTTTACAATTGGTTTGTTTTCATATAAAACTGTTACATGTAGTTCTCAGTTAACACTGAAATGAAGCTGTAGCTTTTTAAAAAATTGGTAACTATCACAGTAAGCTTAATGACATTTATGAGTGGGATCACAAGCCTGGTTATAAGATGGTTGTTCCTCAGGGTTTGGAAAGTGGAACTTTTAACTGGAAAAATTACTGCTGGTGAGGGCCTTTATTAGGCAATCATCTCAGGGGGCTAGCAAGGATGGAACGGTGACATCTCTTACACATATATCTGCAAATCTTAGTGCTGAAATCAGATACAATGATTTTTCTTCTTATCCTGAACAGATGGCTTCAGACAACATTAATCTTGTTTTCTGAGTATGGGTTAAAGCAGAAACAAGGGTCAGCCTCAGGCAGCTACCTTTGAGAAAACTGAGAGTGAACATCTGCTTCTCTAAGACAAATGGATCTTGTAGAGGAGAAATCAGATGGGCTTGTAAGAAAATACAAGTTGCAAGAAGAATCACTTCAAGTTGTTTCAGTAATTTCCTCATGTCTAACAAAATAACAGACAAAAGAACCTCTGGATGCTGAGCTGTGTCTCCTAATACATAATACACTCGTATTTCAAAGCCTGTGTGCATATACTGAGCTTACTGAGTCCTGATTTATTAAACCATAATAAAATAGTTGCAGCTTATTCCATCAACTTGTTTTCACCCACAGAAAAATCTTAAGGTTAACATTAATGTTAAATCAAATTGGAAAAAACCCACAGTACATTAAAAAAAAATATTTGATTTGTTAAAATATTATAGAACCTCCAGTAAACTTAACTGAATTTTTACTGTAGTGAACAGAGAATAAACTCAGGTTTAAAATTTTCTTTAAATACCCATCAGTACTCATCAGACATCATCAGCCAAACCGACACACTGTGTAAGAGTTGCATGGATCTACTATAATTTATTTTAAAAATCCAAACCCGATCAATAATATTGAAAATTGTAGGCAGATCATAAATTCACTAGAGTAGGTAATTTGAATTCTGAACTAAGATATCACTGAAGTTTACACAAAATTTATTTACTGTCTTTTTTCAGGGGTAATTTCATTACCAACCATGAAGAAACAAGCTGATGAATGTTACTTCAGTCAAGATGCTAAGGTTTTATGACTAAATTAAATTAGTCCTTCAGCACTTGTACACAATTTCTGGGAGGATAAGGAAAAGACCGTGAGCTTTCAGGTATATTCCCTTTGCATTTCCAGCTGAGAATTAAAACCACACTGCCTTATGTTAGAATTTATGTAAAATGCATACTGTATTCTGTCCCCTCCTAGGGACTACCAACAGGGGTGTGCTGCCCTTACACTGACACCCTGACTAAAGCAGAGGCCCGCTGCATTTGTCAGTGTAGAAGCACACTAAGCAGGCTTTATTGTTGAAGTGTTTTCAACCCAAATAAAAGCACATTAATACAGTATAACTGTATGAACATTCTTGTACTCAACTGCCCAGTAAAAATAGCACTGCCATTGCTATAAGAGGCCACAGACCTTTCACTACCTGTGCCTTATACTAGCCATGCAAGGCCCTCGTTCTGGGCCATTAGCCTCCTTATTGACTTACGAGAATTTGCAATGTGAAGTAGAGATTGATACCAGGCATCTCTTGTTAGGAGATAAAATGTATGCGTGGGATAACAGCAAAGGCCTTGAGAACACTGGCACACGTTGAAAGCGAAGGTCTCAGAACTATAAACAGCTCGCTGATGGCAATTACTAGTCATTGAAAAAGCACAACCTCAAGAGCCAGGAAAAGACTGCTTCAGTTTCAAGAAAAGCAGCAGCAAAGCAAGAAGAAAAACAAATAACATGGAAATCTCAGCCATGAAACACGATAAAGCGCCTGCCAGGGCTTGGTAAAGTAACCCCATCTTGGGGGCTGCTCCTTGATAGCGATTAATGGTGTGTAAGAGTTATTAGTAGCAAGCGTGCTGTTTCTGAGCGCCAGTCTAAAAGTGGGGTTTAAAGGATTAAAACTGGCCTGATTTATCAGTCTTCTGAACATCCCCATCACTGTAAGTGCTCTCTGGCACGGACATACACACGTTCAGTTGAACATCCCTTACAGTTATTGTACAAATAAAGACAGGAGATTTGTGAACGGTTGGATCCAATCTCAAAAAGACATCAATATATGAAAAAATAAACTCCCAGGTAACATGGCAGTACCCCAAGAGCAAACGAGAAAGGTGGAAGAAAAGCAAGTGGCACCTGTTTATGAACTGTCACCATGTTAAAACATGGGGCAACCTCTTCTGCAGCCTGAGTAGGATTCAGCAGGGCCAAACATGGGAAGAGAACTTACAGTCATAATTTAGAAGCATAACAGGGAAGAGTTAACAAAATACATACCCAAATTTCATTTATATTTTTGAAAGTTAAATAAAAGATACCTTTGAATAGTGTATCAAAGGATGAGTCATCCTGTTTGACAAGCTTCTGCCTTAACACTGGACAGCAGAACCCTGAAGTACACCTTTTATAAGGGACACAGCTGAGCAAGAACTTCCTTAGCTCAAGATAATAATATAACTGAAAAGGTACTATAAACATTAGACTCCAGGCTGTTCTAAGATGTTACTGGCCTTGTTGAGCTCTCTTCTAATTTTCTCCGGTCCAAACTGATCAAGGAAACGTCTGAAGTGAAATGCATCTATAGCAACAATTTCAGTGTAGCGTCGCTGCCATTCATCCCTAAAATTGGAGGGAGAAGAAAAGCAGATGACATGAGTTGTTTAATACTGCCCATAAAATCATGATCCAAACCGAGCAATTCCCCGCAGAGCTTCTCTGTTAGAAGCAGCTAGAAAGGCGAACTCCTAACAGACAGTGGAGCACTTTTTTTCTTTGGGGGTCAGGAATGAAAGGAGCATCAGAAATAAGACAGGTCTCCCTATAAATTTAGAAACACTCTGGCTAGACTTTGGGCATAAATGTGAAACATCCAACTACACAGCACTATTTATTAAGTAAAAACATCACAAGGTCAAAGAAAAGCACTTTGCCTCTCTGTCTTCCTCCAGCATTTAAATGGGAGTACATTGTCTGTGTTTCCCTACCAGATGAATCATTTTGTGTATACACTATGATAACATTGTTGGAGAAATAAATTCAAGAGCTCAGAGCTTTTTTTATTCAGATTCACGTTATTAAATGTTGTTTTGCCACACATCATCTGCACTCTGGCACCTGAGGTATCACTGTCAAACCTGCGACATTATAATACACAGTTCAGTCAGTACCTTAAAAATTTGGATCACATACATGTAACTAAAAATGGTGGTTTAAGAACTGACATGTTGACAGGTACCATTTATTAGCATTATCAATATGAGAGAACTTGCTTAGCTTGTTGGCTCTACTGAAGAGAGCAGAATCAGTCAAACTCTATTAAGGCAAATGCTAGGAAATACTTAAAGCACCGAGTTTTCAAATTTATAACATTTATTCATTCTTCACTTGAAATATTTACATGGAACTTCACCTTGGGGTCTTGTCTTCGTGGCTTCTAGCCCAGCGGTAAGTTTCTGCATAGCCTGTATACTCACTGTACTGCTCAGTACCTGAAACAAATCAGTTCCCATGTTATATACAATATCTACATATTTTTTCACTTGACAAATCTTTCATAGGAATCTCTGCTTCTTCAGATGAAAATGCAGCTCTAGGAAGCAATAGAAAATAAGAGATTCATATCTGCACCAAAAAGACAAGGTCATCTTGTAACCAGTAGAAGCTGCTTTTCCACGGATGACGCGTATCAACCACCATAGGACATTACAAGTCCAGGTCTCTGTGCGCTTCTGTAACAAGAAGGTAGTTTTCAGCTTTGCCACTCTCAAGTTTAATAACTTCTCAATGAACTGTCTGTCACCTTTCAACTCTTACTGGTCAACAAAACCTGTGAGCCTTCACACCACCAGCGTTTTGCTTTTCTCGTTTGAGGCTACTACCTGTAAACACGATGATAAAAGAGTCATTCCACTACTGAAAGTGTGGCAACCTACTTCATCACAATTTAGCAAACATACGGGGGCTGACAATTTAGGGAACACAAGAAGAAAAATATAGAAGACAATACACTGAAATCCATAAAGCCAAAGAAAACCCTGATGGTCAGAAAGCAAGCAAATTTCCAATACACCCACATTACCCAGTTTGCCCTCCAGTCTGGAGAGAAGGGTAGGTAGGACCATTAAGCTCCCTAGTCTCGTTGCCCAGTACACCCTTGTTACCATTTTGGTTTACATCTGTTCAAATAAGGGCACTGAACAGACTGGGAGGCCACTGCTCTCAGCTACAGCCCTCAGCATCAAGGAGTTACTTCTGTAAAAGCTTGAGGGCCCAGAAAACCATGGTCTGGAACATACTTGGCTACCCTGTGAAAAAGTCAGGCAGGGTATCTTGGCAAGCATTAAGGGCTGTAGAAAGTAGCTCATTAAGTCCTCCAGTAATTTTAGCTAGAAATATGTCAGACAAAAATGGTTATTCAACTGCCTTGTGAACTACAAACTGCTGTTGCTGGGAGAAGAGCAGCAGTAAGGGATAAAATGGATGTGCTCATGTTTCTGGTGAGTCTTTTTAATTCCCATAAAAAAATAAAGGGGTAAAAAAAGCCAAACCACAAATACAGCATAACAGCACAGTTCCATCAGAACTTTAAAAACAAGCTACAAAAACTAAAAAAAAATCCTAAAGTCAAAAGTATATACAAATACCACTCAAAAATACACTTTGTGAAACTTAGAATAGTCACAGCATCAGACTAACAGTGAAGCTGCCGAGCATTAGTGCTTATGGGACCTAACTCCTTCCATCTAGATATTATTAAAAATAAATATACCTCAGACTCCACAGTCTAGCTCTAAATTTGCATATGATCTGTATGGCATTATAAAAAAAACCCACCGTACTGTCTCTCCAGTATTTCTTATGAGCTAGAGATTATACCCCTGGGGAGGCAGTACCACTAGCACGGAGTGAGAAGCAGCACGTGTGAGAAGCACAATACACTTTTGTAATCACCAATATCAATGTACGTTCACTGCCAAAAGCGAGGTGAAGGTCCTTCTCTCCCTTTCTATCAGTTCTTCTGATCCTTATCTTAGGCCACCACTAGCCTTCTGGCTCTCCAGTGGCACAATCAGCCTGCTAAATCCAGCTGAAAAACAATTTTTTCCCCTCTGAGTAAATTTTCAGCTGAACCAATTATCTGATCTCATTTACTGCCTGGGTAATGTGCTTAGGAGTCTGAAAATGCCTCGCTGAGATGGAGGCAGGACTGGCCATTGCTCAATCTGTAGATTTAAAGCAAACACAGAACACAGCTTCATCTGCTCTTAATGCTGCCCAAGTATATGCGAACTCAAACAGGGGGAAAAGGAAAATCCAGAGAAACAAACCCTGAATGGAAAACACTGACACGCATTCACAGCTCTACCAGAAATGCAGCTGTGGAATCTCTGGCGCTGCCGCTGACATTTCTGCAGGTGGATGGATGTCTGTGGTGAAGAGCTTGCCTGTTTGCACGACCGGTTCCATACCCATTACAGCAGTGATCTTAACCAGATACTGTGCAATCACAACTAATTTAATTTCTCTCCAATTTCTCAGACTCTTCTGCAAATTTAAGCTACACAGTTATACCCATTAGGCTGCTGAGTCAAGATGCATCGCAAGGAATGTAATTTATCAAGACGATTGTGACACGCAGTGGAGACTTGGCTAGAAAATGAGGTGGAAGAGCCAGGGATGAAATGGAAATGATGGAATGGCCATTCCCATTAGAAGAGAACACCCTATCACAAATACTAATTGCAAACCACTATAAAAATACTCAAGAAAACTAAAACAGTATTGGTGCAGTGAAAAAATATCCCCACCTTTATTTATTCATGTCAAATCACTATTTTTTGCAGGGAACGGAAGGTCTTTGAAAACATTCATTGAGCTTTTTCCCCCAGTCAGTTATTGCACAGACTGCTGGCCACGCTCTGCTTTCACCCTTGCCCAGAGGACAGGACTTCAGTGTGTTAATCCTGTTGTAGTATTGTGTCCAAAATACACAACAGAAATCAGCAATGGCCAAGAATTTTCAGACTCGTTTTTTAAAAGATAAATCACAAAAAAACAATTTATCAAAAAGTTTTCTTTGAAAAGGCATTAATTTTGGCAGGGTGGAAAAACAAAGTAAAATGCTGTCTTAAAAAAATTATTAAGACTGAAAACAAAAGATGCTCTGCCCAGTACAATCAATAGCTCAGGACAGAGTAAGATTTGCAAGCTTTAAACTCAAGTTTCTACTGTGCATGCATGGGAGAAAAAAGTGCTTTGGAAGGACTTTTCCAAGAACTGTGTTCTAATACTGTACAAATTCCTGACTGCTGAGGCAGCTCAGGTAACTAAACCCAATACTTTTACTATAGCAGCCTGAAAAATATAAAGTGTACACAACCTGTTACAGTATTTGTCTAGAGGATCTCTCCAATTGATTTTTTCTTTATAGCTTTTCTTTAGAGTAAATTTAAAAAAACATTACAGCATCATTTTATTTTTCAGCCAAGAAAAACGTTCAGTGTTCCTGTGTATAGAACTGAGACACACAGAGCGTGACCCGGGCCTCTCCATTTCTTAATAATGACATTTGGTGTTTTGATGGCAGCTGGTTTGATCCAATGGATAATAAAACAGTCCAAGTTCTACGACAGAGGTGGAAACAAAAGGAAAAACCCTTTCAGCAAAGCACTGGACAAACAGTGCATCTCCATACACAGCCCCTCAGCAGCATTCTGGAGCAGCAGTCACTTTTTTTTTCCCCCCTTCACAAAACATCTATTGGAACAGTGGCCCCGTGGTCTGAAGAGGTGGAGTGAAGAAGGAAGCTCTTTGTCAAAGAGCACGGACTTATTCTTTCTTCTTTTTTTATCTCTATGGCATTTAAACATACGGAACTTCAACTTGAAATATATGTTCTACATCTAAAAGCAGAATAAGATGTGAAACATCTTCTGCAGAGACTCACCTGTGATGATAAGACATTCGTTGTGATCCAAGACTTCAGTGATGAGCCTCGATACAATCAGTTCTGGATTGATTAAAAACCGAATTTCTTCTTGTACTAGTCCTGCCCCAGTCACACCACCGCCAACGAAACGGTTTGCAAAATCAACCTAACAAAAATATATTCAGGAGGATTATGAGATAAGCAAATAGCATAAAATCCTTTCATTTGTCAAGGTAAATACAGTCCTGTACAAATTTCAATAATTCTGTTGAAATCTGCTGCTACCACTCTAAAAATGCAAGCAGCAGGACAGAGCCTGATTAACAGCATGCCTTTTTTTTTTTTTTTCCCCTTTCTACTTCTCAGGAAACTTAGAACAAGAAAAGTGAGAAATTACACAGCAAAGTAAAGTTTTGCATGTCAAGTGCTCTAAATCCAAGTTCTGTGGGTTTTCTTTGAAGATCACATATTTAAGAATAAAACACGTTTCAGTGAATGTGAAGGATAAAAATAGTAAATTACAACGTGCTTTTTGCATTTTATGGACACTGAAGATTTATTAAGTTGTTCTTTAATAAGCATTCTGCCCCAGGTGTCCACACTGAAGCATTTCTAGATTGGCATTGCCCCTGCACCAGTAGTTCTGTACCCAAAAGGATCTCTTATGCATTCTCCCTGAAATGCACTTGAACAAGGCAAGTGATTTTGATCATTAAGGTTTCTCCTTGCAACAGAGCTCTGGACTCTATCTTCTGCTGCAATAATACATATTCTGCAAATTACATTTTGGTACAGACAACAGTTTTAGAAGGATTTGGTTTATTCAATAAAGCAATTACTACTTATGCATATTAACTGCCTATATAAATTATATAGATTTATAATTTTAAAAAGTCACGTCATCTTTCAAATGCTATTAGCTGCTTACTTAGATAGCTTACGAGAGCACATTTACATGAGGGGAACAAAAGTTGCTGGAGTGACATGAACATCTTCACAGATTACAAACTGATCAGGAGTCAGCCAAGTCTAAAGCACGCCGAGAGCTGGCCCCTACAACAGCAAGCACTCCTGAAGTCTGTCCTGGAAACACCAACACACTTCAGTTGGTAAAGATTTGCTGAACTTGACTATAACACAAAAAAGTGACATGATAACTACGCAAATGTTCGGTGTGCCAGGGCCCAAACACACTAACTGTGCAGAGTAGCCCCCCCTTGGCCTCCATCCAGGCCCATGGCCCCCACACTCCCGTCCTGGCCCTCACCTGAGACACACTGAGTGTGGGGCCATGCCCAGCCTGTCCTCTGCTGATGCCCACTAGCTGACTGGACAGCTAGGACTGACCTTGGTGACCAGACTCGTCGCCTTGCCTTTGTCTGACGACCACCAGCCTGCCAGCAGAAACTGTTATTGTCACCATCCCTGCTCTGCTTGGCCCAGCCAGCAAACCCGCCACTGAGGCTTGGGTCACTGGGGACTCCTGCACTGTCCTGCCTTGGCCATCCCGCTCCCTCCCGCAGTGAGTGCTCTCTGTCTGAGAGGTATTTCTTTTGGTAAGACTTGAAATAGCCAGGAGAAATAAATATAACATCCTAGGCAACACTCACTTGTACAGAGTGCAACAGAAACGGTACATGAAAAGGCACAACTCGCCCTTCTCTCACCTCTGAGTTATAGTATAGTTGAACAGACACGGCAGAAAAATGGTTATTGCTGAGCCATTGCTGAGTTCTTAATTTCAATACACGTGTGAGTGCTCAAGTTTCATGAAGTCATGAGACATTTTAAAATCTAAGCAAAAAGCATCACAAAAAAAAAAAATCCTCCTAGTCTTCCTCCTCCTCCTCTTCCTTTGTAGCACTTGTTCCTGGCTAAAGAAGTTGTAATTTTTTTTTTCCATAAACAAACTCTAGAAGTCAAACCCTGAAGAACAAATTTGAAAGCTCAGATGTGTTTCTTGCTAGAGATATGGACAGGACATCCTTCTTATTAATTTCTTTTGCTGACTGGCTCCCAGACCGGAACAGTGGTACTGGCAGCAGCAAAAAAGTCTCCTGAACCACTGACCTGGTCACTGTCTGGGGCACAAAAATAAACTGAAACCCTTGACAATGCATCAATATTACAGCCTGAAACGTTTATCTTGTCAATCTTTGATCCTGGTTTGAACCAGAAGACCTGAAACTGTCCAGGGCTTGTGATTCTGTCAGCTCTTTCAGCACCAGGTACATGTGCAAGCCTAGGTGAGCTGGGGAATATTGACAGTACTAAGACCACCCATGGAATTAATTTTGATGTTTCTTTTACAGTGCATAACATCTTGTCATGTAATTCGATTGAGGAAAACAAATAACTTCATTTAGCTGGCAGACAATACAAGTATGACAAAGACATGACACACAGCTAATTTTCTGTCACATGTGCTTACCTGCAGCATACCTTGTCCATTGCTTTCGATGGTGCCTTCATAGGTGACGTGCAATCTAGACAGTTTTTTTTGAGATCTACCATTGAAGAAAAATATTGTACAGAAAGGATGACTACAGAATGTCCACACAAAGGCAACCGTTTAAAAGAAAACCAATCCAAACCCAAACTTCTTACACACCTTAAACACAAGGTGGTTTAAAAAGAACAACCCATATGAATGAAAATGTATTTGCCTTTCGGAAACAGTTTGTAAAGGTTTAACGTAGCCAGTTGCTCAGTTTCTCCATCTCTTTCACCACAAAACCCCAAATCTGAAACTGAAGTTCCCTGTTTTTCAAACAATATTGTCCCACATTAACTTGCTAACCAGTAAGAAAGTGCAACGTGTGTTTTCATGTGGGTTATCACCCATACTTCATTACATTTCCTGTCATTTCAGAAATCAGGTCATCTCTCTCTTTTCACAGCCCCTAACTGAAGCAACAGCACCAAAGATGTGCTACAGTTTTGAAAATTCACCCAAGACTTGCTGGCTTCCCAGGCAAACAAACGTCCTGGAAAACTCAGGGCACTCAAACTACTTGTGGCAGTTCACCCACTTTCCTCTGTCCTTCTCTCAAAACAATCCACACCAAACATGGATTACTGTGGTACTCCCAGGCCTGAAGCAATTCCACATGAATGGGATTCAGTTACTAAGACATTTCTTATGTTAACAGGATGTCTGACTTACCTTTCCCAGTCTGGAAACTCCTGGAGGCACTGCCTTGTAAACGTCACCAGTCCCGTAGGTTCTACAGGCAAATCAACCCCAAAGGAAAATGTATTAACTGCTGGAGCTTTAGCCCTTAGATTGTTTTAAGTGGTAAGCTTCTAAAATTACACCAAACATAATTCTTGGTAGAAACACAAGAGCAGCTTTGAATCTTCCCCTGACAGCCCATGCTCAAATTGAAAACAAGTAACATAAAGACCAAAACAATCACTTATCCCTTTGGAGTTTGAGTATTTTCCTTTTCCCAGATCAAGAAAAAACTATTTCTTAAGCAATTTTCACTTAAACTGTAAACACTACTAGAAAGACTCAATAGTTGAAGTTAAACGTGTTTTCACTTAGGAAAAAAAGAAATTGTGAACCTTTCGAGGTCACACTCAATCTATGAATGGATGAAGCAGCAGCTTATATTTCCAAGAAAGTCCTACTCTGTCAATAAAGATTCAGCGTGAGTGGATTCCAAACCAAGCTGTTTTCAGCTCTGCAGGATGCTAGAGAAATTCACTGTACTGCAGCTAAGAGACTCCTGCCCTCGAGAGAACAGGAGGAAAAGGATGCATTATCATCTTCTCTCCTTATTTTACTCAAAAAAGTTCAGCTTTGCAAGAGAAGGAAAATATCAACCTTTTATTAGGTGATGTCATCTTAAAAACTGCATTTGAGGCTGGTTTCTTTGCTCCACCAGTAAGTCTGTGGCACTGGCTTGTGAAAACCATTCAGAACAGCATGTAAAGCACAAACATATCCTTCCAAACCCTTCTGCACAAGGGACTCCAGTACCGGTGGTGACACCTTACAAAGTAAGCATTCGCCTCTTGAGAACAAAGTCTTCAGCGGATACAGTCTCCACTGTGTCTTTTACAAGGAATTCAATTGCCATTTACAATAGGAGTTGCAAAATTATTACAATATTTTATAGAGCTCTTACTTCAGCCTTACTAATTCCTTGAACAAAAAAGAACAAGAACTGTGGTCTTTTAAAGGTACGATAGGAATTTTTAATTCAAGAAAACAGCACTCAAGAATCTCATTAAATATTATTGAAAGTTCTGATGTTAAGAAATCTAATACGGGAGTTTCACAGAGCATGTTCTCAACAGGTTTCATACGCACAGGTGGTCAGGGACAACTGCATAAATGTAGAATTTGGTTTGCATGAAAACGCTATTACTCAAGTATAAAAGACCACTAGCACACCATATCTCTTCTCAGTCCCACACATAGATCACAATTTGCTTTTTACCTCAGAGATTTAGTTCTATTGACATTGCTGAAAGTTTGACAGCTGAAACGGGATGTAGCTACATTTAATTTGTGGTGAACTCAAATGAAGAACTGAAGACTGACTGAACCAAGTAAAGGGATTTTTATATTTAGTAGCCTAAAGCTGTCTGTCTTAAAACAAGCCCTTATGAATATGAAGCTAATAGTGAAATACTGATGTGTAAAGAAAAAGTTCTTTAAAAAAAATACTATAAGGATAGTAATCTGTCTCCCCCAGAATACAATATATAAGCTCTGAAACAGTTCTTTCAAAAACAGATTTATTTTTGAGCTTATGCAGATGTTCATGTTCATGGTAACAACAGACTGACTACGCACACCAAGGACAGTATCGCACTAGCTTCTAAGAGCTGGAGATCTCTCATGTCTCGCTGTCACTTGTTTTATTTGAATGGGGCGAACTTCACAGCAGCTTTGCTTTGGGACAATAGAAGGGAAGAACCTGAAACACCATCACAAGCAGGAGAAAATCCCTCAGAACTACAAACATTATAGTCAAAGGACTAAGTGTGCACACTGAAGGAAATCTGAAGCTTGATTTAGAATCTTTAAGCTTGTGATTTTACTGACCTCATATGGTGCTGTTTCCTCTACATTCTAACTCTGATGCAGTGCAGCAAGTATTTGCATATATTACAAACATTATACATATGTATTATATACACATTCATATACACACACTTTTTATTTATAAAGGGGAGTGAAAATATATCTCTAACATCCCCCATATATATATCTCAGAAAGAAGAAAACAGAATAAGCTCCGTGCAAAAAATATAACTGCATGCATCATCTATAAGAGGTGACATTAATATGAATATCAGTGTACTTAGCAAGCCAGCTTTTGTTACCCACTTCCATCATAATACTGCATGGCCATTTCTAAATTTAATGGGATTAGATTTTTCATGTATTTGCTTTGTAGCTCAAAAAAAAAAGAATAAAGGATATACTTTTTTCTGTGACTCTTCTAAAATAGCAGAAAAGGGTCTTAAGTTTCTCAGGCTTCCTTGGTGACCGTCCTTCAAACAATCTGAAAAAAGAAACAAAGGCAATTAATTACATTTCAGGGATATAGTGCATAGTAATTAGGTTACTTACTAATTGTGATTTGATTTTTTTAACTATTATGCACATATTTCAATTAGCCTTGTATTTGAATACTCTCCTGCAGAAAGAGCTCTCTAGGCAGCCCCTCTGTGACTCCTGCAGGAGTAACAAGTTCGTTCACTTGCTGATTTTCTAATGAAGCTGCTAAGTGTACGCCTAACTCATCTGATTTTGTAATATCGAAAAATATAATTTCAATATCCATATCCAGGAAAACGACTAGCGTTATTTGCAACAGGCTGGCTTGAATTAAAGCAAGCGACTGAGGGGTGAAAACATGAATGTCGAGTACTCCAAGATCCAAACGTCTTACCCTACTTTCAGCTCAGTGAGTTGCAGAGAAAAATTGATGCAGCCATCCTGCTTTCAGGAGTTGCACTGCACCAGCAGCGTTTCTAAAGAAAAGAACCTACCCCCAACAGAAACGGCTTCATCCGCAGGGCTACTCCTGGCATTCTGACATTCGTTTGTAAGACCCTAAGCATTAAAAAGAAGCATCCTCTTTTTAGCCATTAAGCGAATGTATTCTTTTATGGCTAGCTGAAATACTTCTACTGCATCATCTATCTTCCAGCAACTTCAGCACACATTACTTAATTTCACTTCCAACAGAGTGACAAGGCATTGTTATTGGCAACACATAATGGAATTTATCTGGAAGGAAGAAGAGCGGCGACTTCAGAAATAATATCCTTTGAGTAGGAAGTTCACTAAAAGATGTCTGATAGAGTGAAAGCCCCCAGGATGTAAGATTCACCCCCAATAAACAGTCTAAATAAAGGAATGACACAACATTATTCATTTGTGTCCATGCACTGGAATGACAACCTGCATTTAAAACCAGAATGCTGTCAGGTGAACTTAGCTTTTAGTAGTGAACTGGATTTTTTCACCATTTAAAAATTCTGATGACGGATACACGCTGAAGAGATCAATTTAATCCAAAAAAAATCTATATTACATCACAGAGGCTAATTTTTAAAAGCCTAAAAAGATTTTATGTAAAAAACAATCAATCAGGACTTTAAGGTGGCAAACCCCAGGCTTATACAGTCTGTGTTAAAATGGGCCTACATGCAAGTTCTAACCCGGGGCTGTGCTTATGCGACTAATAAGGGGCTCATAAAAGCAAGAGCTGCTCTGTGTCTCTGTAGGTCTTGCCTAAATGAGTCAGTTTCCCCTGACCTTTTATCTAGAAGTCTCATTTGGTAAGAATCCTTTAAACTGGTTAATTTATCTATTAGTCCCATCAGGCCTTTACTAGTTTTTTGCCTCTTTACATCAAATTGAAGACTTGCTCATGTTGCAAACTGTCAGAAGAGAGGAGTTCGTGTCATAAAGGTGATACATGACTTGGCATAACTAGCAGGCTGGGCAGGAGAAGTCCAGAACTGGACAAACTATTCCTGAAGCAAGTCGTATCAAGCTAGAAGGCAATGGTGAGGCAGATGAACTTGGTTTCATCCGTTACAACTACTCAACAAAATGCAGTCACGCTGTCAAGCAGGGAATTTTAACCCAGTATTTTTTTTTAAATCTGAAGTGTTCAGCATTGGCCTGTCTTTTCTCTTCTTAAAAGCTGTGATAACTACCTCTCTTCTTTCTCCTCTGGGATCAAAGCTAGAGTAATGCTGATTTGCTTCTGAAAAATCTCATTTACAGTAAATAAATATTCCCAAAACACCATCTATAATTACAATAATGAGAAGAGATAGCTGTATTTCTGTTCTAGCCTTATATGGCTAAATGGATAAAAAATGACAGGGCAGCACAAAAGGATTTGAGCAGCTCTGGGTTCTGGCAGACATCCCTTGCTGTACAGGGATACTCCATACAGTGGGGGCAGAAGAACAGTGTGGTCTTCAAAGTTATCTGTATCTTCACCTGGAAGCTTTATGTACCCACTAACTACGTGCATCAGATCTTTTACAGCAGTTAGCCCAAGAGCTCTCCTCCTCACAGTATTTGCTTTCCTTCGCTATGACGTAACACAAATTGTACTTTCCCTTTGAAAATCCACTATTAAAGGCAGAAAAATAAATTTTAAAAAATTATTTATTAAAATAAAGCAGGCCACACCAGTCCTGCACAGACATTTTAGGACTGAATCCACCACAAATTACGTTTGTCCAAACCAGAACACACTCATAAAAGCACGGCCATTTATAGCAGGTTGAAGAAACCGTGTCTTAGATTAATATGTCTGGGTTTACTTCCTATTTTCTTTGTCTAGCATTTACCTTTATTAGTGAGCTAGTGGCAAACTGAAGATGGTTATCTGCAAACATGCTTTTTATTATGTATATGCTTGCAAAATACACCACACTGGTGTAGTGTGTCGCATATTTTCACAGAACCAGGCCAAGGAACTTGTCTCCAGCTACTTCAATTAAAAGTGCTTTACAACATTAGGAATGTTTTAATAGCCAAACAGAGCAGTGGGAAAATCCACACAGATTTTAATGGGCTACAAGGTGGCCTTGAACCCTCACAGTATCTATTTAAAGTTACCAATATTCATTTAGTTGAATTTGGTTGCTTCGTATGTTAACTTTCCACAGAAATTGCATCACAATGACATCAATGACTCAAAAGACTTCCATCAAGCTTACTACAGGCAGAAGAAAAGCACAAGAGAGAACCCAATGTCTCTCCTCACCCGCCCCACCCCGCTGGCAGGCTTTCTTCAGGCATCTTTGTGAATGCAACAGTAAATCTACAACAACCAAAAACGGCCCGTTAATTTGAGGATATACCATGGCAAAGCTATGAATATTTTTCATCTTGAACCTCATTTCTGAAATGATCAATCAGGCAACATTATGAGAAGTTTTATTTCTGAAGCAAAACCCTCTGTTTTGAAGAGCAAAGCTAGATGAGGGCATAAAAAAAAAAAAAGATATTAAATAAAATTTTTCTTCAAGCTCTGAGACATAGAGCCTACTAAAAAAAACCTGTCCAGAAACGTAAGCGGAAACCACACAATCAATTTCCTGAGAGAAGAACCCAAGGCCAAACCCCATTAATTCCAATTAAAGAACTCATCCCAATGAAGTGCACTGTAAATCAAACACAAAGCACTGCAAGCCCACTTTCAGTCCCAGTAATTGAAATATTACTGGCAGCTGCCTATGTGAGCTGTTTTGCTCTGTGCAAGCTGTTCCCGCTGCCATGCGGCTCCCTTCAATCCAGCAGATAAGGGGCTAAGAAAGCTTGTGGGGCTGATCACCAAACGCAGCTGCAAATTTCTCTCTCCCTCTCCAGCTTCCAAGTCAGGGTAGCAGCAATGTTAATCAAATGAAGGACCTCTACAGATAGACTTAAGTGTTCCGAGGAATCAAGGTCAGAGATTAAAAAAATGTAAGAAAGATGTGTGAGCAATGTCAAAAACAAAGTAGGTTGTTTTTGTGGCTCTGTGAAAACTGTTTCCTAGCAAATATTCAGACACTTAAGTCAACTGTTCTGAAGACAAATTCTATATATGAGAATAAAATATTTAAAATAGTATGAACCAATATTGGAAAAATGTAAAAAAAATTTTTAATTACTCAACTGTCAGTAAACATACAGTACAATTACAAGTGTCTATACTATTTCAATAATTATTATAAAAACATGCACATTTGTTTTGCATTAGCTTTTTCATAAAATTTTAGGGTGGAAAAGCACCCCCACATTTTAAAAGGGTAATCAACATTCTGGTCTTTGCAGTCTCACTGGCTACAAATTCAAAATTGTCTTATTTTCAACCGTTTCCACCCCAGAAAGCTGGAGCCAAAAGGTCCAAGGAACCTGCTCTTCGGTGCTTCCCATGCTGAGGCAAGCAGCAAAGCTGCAAGGGGCTCCCAAGGGCGCGTTGCCGGTGACGCCACCGCAACGCGATTTAATAGCATCAAGAGCCACACAAAAGTGACCTTGGAACACATCTAGTTTAACTGGGGAAAAGTTGAACCTGCTTCAGTAAACAGTTCTTAAATACACTGCTTCCGATTATGGTATAATTAAAATAGAGTAGTTTATTTATAAAATTTAATTTCCAAGGAACTAAATTAATCCCTTGACGTTACTTGAACTGGCTCCAGTAATTTCTACAAGCAGAAGGAACCATTACAATCATGTGGTCTAACCACCCAGTTAAATAATTTCATATGGGTATTTCCATCCCCAGCCTGTAACTTCCCATCCCCGGGCTGGGCTTACTTTGAATGTTTCCTTACAAAGAATATAACCGTGTCCTTACACTGAAATCAGAACCCCCCATGAAGACTCCGAAGGCTACCCACGCTGTAACAGTACACCAAAATCTGCAGTATGGGTCGTACTTCAGGGAATACTTCCCAGTCATAAATTCATGGCATTTCACATGTGCTATGTGCAAAAGCATGGATACACAATTTCATACTTAGGGTCCCCACAATTAACTCCGTGTGCTTTATCTTAACTGCCACAGGCACTAAAAAAATACCTTTTTCTTTACTACTATAGTTGAAGACATACTTGTATTGTTTCTTGTATTTTACCATGATCTCACGAAAAATAATATAATAACTGCACGTTATATTTTATTAAAACCTCATTTTTCTCCTACAAATAAAAGTGAACGGATTTATAATGAAGTAGTATGGGCAGGCAAATTTCACCCAGTAAAGGGACTGAGCAGGGGAAGGATGGAAAGTTAAGGCAGAAATGAAAATACTGAACAGGCACCACCTTCAACCTCAAGAACAGAGCTAATCACTAAACAGAGCTTTAGTCTAATATATAGGATGACAAAACACTTGGAAAAAAGAATAAACTAAGCATCTTGCTTTTTGTATCTGTACTCAAAGTCTAAAGTACTCCACCCAAGGCTAATTAGAACATATAGCTAGTGCAGGCACATCAGAATCAGTTTTGTAGGATCACTGTAAACTCAGAAAACCTAGAACCACTTTTCAAGGAAGCAATGCATATCTCAGCCCAAACCAAGCTCTAAGTCACGAGATAATTTATTCCCAAGAGAAGAGTCATTAGTGGTGCAAAACTGACGTTGTTTATGAGGAGACAATTGCATTACCAGTTAATTAGATTCCAATTCTCCTGCATAAATGAGCTATACAGTTTGCCCATTTCCTTTCATATATTATACATTCCATAAAAGACATCTATATCTTAACTAGTGGGTTTTTTCCCCTCATTTCTAATCACTTGAAACTACTTTAAAAATTTGTTTGATAAAGATGAAATTCAGTCCTAGTGGAGTACTGGTGGTTTCAGACCAGAGCACCCACTACCTTCAGTGACAAATTCAACCTCAGCCGCTTTGATGGGAGATTGTACAGATGCAGAACATCTCCAGTTTAACTACAGCAGTGTTTTGAAAAAGGAAAACACATGAGTTACTCTAACGACACAACAGCTGAGAAGGGATCTGTAGCAGGTCAAAGACACAGCAAAAGCACAGAGGGTCCTTGACAAACTCCTCTCCTTCACAGTCATCCAGAACACTGACTCAGTATTACAGAAGCTTTTCTTCCTTATACTTTGCCTTTACATATAATCAAACGAGGTAGTTTCCTAATTACCAAATTCTATACTGTTAAGGCACAGGTGTGTGATAACTTGGTCAACAGGCAGGAAGGAAAACCTCCCCAGAGCAAAGTCTTGTCTGACAGCAGATGGTATTCATTTCAGCATGTTATAAAAACTGAGGGCAAGAAAGCATAGTTCAATCTTATCTTTAATACATAGGGAGAGGAATATATATTTTATGAAAGTGCTATGTTAAACCACAAAATAGTCACAAAGAAGATTAATTATGAGCATCACCATAAGAAACTACTTTAAACTGTGCATCCATTCATTGTAGAGAAGATCTTCAGAGTCAGTGAAATTCATGCTCCACATTCAACCCCCATGCAGCTTCCATGGAAAATTTATCAACATGAAGAATTAAATGGCAAATTTAACTAATTTTTTTTTGTGTGTGATGGGATATTTTTGATAAAGCTGACTAATTATTTCCATCTTATATATTATAGAAGTGTTTTTAAAAAGAAAAACTGAACTCTAAATTTAGCTTGCTATTTTGAACGGAAGCAGGGTTTTATGCTCTTTAGTGTGATCTAATGTTTGGCCACTGAACGGATGTCATTCTATCTATGAGAATTCATAAATGTTAAAGCTCTCAAAGTTAAACTATGAATTCCATTTTATTAACTACATTTGAAATTACTTATGTTATTAATGACTTAATCACAACAGGCCCATCCCTGCCAAGCACAAATGGGAAGAATTCATTATACCTCGGTGCCTTGCAGCCAGCAGCACGATGAACAGTCCAAACAGACAGTCGGTGTCACAACATACCATTAAGCTAAGCGCATCAGTGTCAGGAGGAACGCTCCCCTTTTTATCTCCTCTTATCTGGCAAGACTAAAAGGCAGGAGAGGTAAAGCACATGCCATGTTAACACTAACACACACAAGGGCCTCCCTTCCACTCAGCTGCAGTTATCAGCACACGCACCAGCATCCAAACAACCTGCTGCCATCCCAGCAGTGACACTGCCAAGCACGGCTGCACCAGAAAAGGCTCAAGAGGGAGAAGGAAACAAAAGAAAAAGAGTAAATTCTCAGTATTGCTTTGTCAAGCAGGTTTGTACCTTGGGGGGAGTAGTGGTGGAAGTCGTAATATGCTAGTTAATACCACATAAAAACCTGAAGCAGGGAGAAGACTGGGAGGGGAGAGGGAACAGAACAGCATTTCGATGTAAAAACTTTATTTTATAGTGTATAAAAAGGTACTAATATTTAAATCTGAATTAAGTGAATCATTAAATGAGTATGAAAACACAAGAAAAACTGCTTACACAGTTGTGTTTCTAACTTAAGGCAGAGATTTAATTTTTTCAGTCTCAGAGTTGAGGCGAGGGGCAGAAGCCGTTTGTATGAACACAGAAAGGGCATGCATAGTGGAATCAGGGAACACCACACTTGCTAAAGAAAAAAAAAAAATCCCTCAAATGCTGGCATCCGCTCAGTAATCTTGCTTCCTTATGGAACCATGGCAGATTTTTTTTTTTTTGTACCCAAAGAACAAAGTAATTCATTCACAGCCACGTAGCAGATGAATTATGCTGAGGAAAGAACCAAGTCTGGAAAAAGCTGCAGACCATAATACTGTGGGGGAAAAGGGCTGCTGTGTGGAACAATCTCTTATGGCCATCGCTAAACAGAGAGGGCAGAGCAGCAGCCTCCAAAGCCTTTCTATCAAAACAGTTATAAAGAGGAAAAGTCACAAACATTTTAACTTCAGTCATTGCCTACTGCCTTTTGAGTACATCCAGCTTCACTGGATAAGGCTTTTTTGTAAAAGCTGAAAATACACACTGCAATGGCCCAAACCTTGCTGTCTTTACAAGTCTGAAGCAACAGCTCAAGACATGACAGTTTATTCTCTGTCCTTGCTACTAGAGCTAACTTTTCAGGATGAAAAAATACAGTATTGACAGGAGGAAAAAGAAACAGGGCATTATCCATCCTCCTCTGCGCCCTCATTTTAGATTTCAACTGAATCAGGTTTATATACAGTAGCACAGTAGAAAGCCACAAATTTTTGTAGTACACTCTCCACACCACTCACTCTTCAATCTCCTTTTGCTTTTATCTTGCCAATCTCCTCTCACTGACACATTCCCTCTTCTTCTATGGGGGGAGAGAATTTTGGTCCAACAAATGGTTAAGTAAATAAAGGACTGAAAAAGGGAAACTAATTATATAAAAATCACATTAAAAGGTTAAAAGGCAAACACCGAGGAGAGCCACTTTTCATCCTCAAGAACCAGAGGAGAACCAGCTTCCCTTTTCTGCAGTTTGACAACAATATTCTTGCACTTACATGAATAAAAATGGTCTTCTACCCTTTGTGACTGAAAGTTAAGCATTACCTCATCCACAATTCAAGAGGAAGGCCTAAAGGTTGTTGGCTGTATTACCCTTCTTAAATAACATTGTTGGAATTTACTATGAGCAATAGCACTAGAAAGCCAAGTCAGAAAAGAAAGGACTGAATGGAATAGGGCAGAAAATCCAGAATAGTTAATGCTTTATAGTGATCATTCTCTAAGTCTTTGTCAGGAAAGTATGGACCTAATAATTTGCCAATGCTTTTTTATTTACAAGTAGTTCAAAATATTATGCCCTTAGTTAATCACCAGTATTACACCATACTACTGTGACTTCACATTGCTGTGCAGTGTTCATAGAAGAGAATATGAATTTACTCTTCTGTAGTTGGTAAGAATTTAGCTGCTTGATTTGTAACATGCTTAAGTTGCAAAAAAAAATGGTCCCTTAAAGTCCTTTAAAAAACATGAAATTCAGTTAGAAGTACGTAGCTGGTGCAGTCAAACTGAACTCTTTCCAGAACCTCGCTGTCCTCTTTCACTGCTCTGAATATAAAACTTATTTAATGCAGGGATGGTACTTTTCATTTTTTTGTTTTTATGAACTAATGGTGGGAAAATATGCTGAATTGTATGGCACATTAATGCCCACCCACACTTGCTCTTCCATAACCCACGGAGCTGTTGGAATAAACATCAAGACAGTGACCCTGGTCTCTCTTCTGGAACACAGAGTATAGAGAAACCTGTGCTAGCCCTTAAATGCGGCTAGCACCAAAACCATTATTAGTAGACTGGTATGCCTGACAACTTATTCTGGAAAGTTCTAGTCTAATATAGCTCTTATGACACACACCCCCAAGTGTGCTGCATCACAGATAACAGCATTTTTCATCTCCAGCCTAATAAACGTCAGGTTGAACTACACAGACTTGTATGGAAGCGCCCAGAAGAAGAAAAAGTCTGATTTCTAATCTACAAGTTCACGTGAACCATAATATTCTGCAGCAGGAAACATCACCATCCTCTTCCCCCATTTAAAATTTAAATAAGTATATTTAGAAAACAAAAGATGTGAGGAAAGATTTCTAATCAAATCTGCTTGTAAGCTAGCGTGGAGGAAAAAAGAATAAGCGTTTGTTTAGAAATCAGTATTTTTAATAAATTCTTATGGTAGTCTTGAAACCTTTTTAGGCTAATGTGTCTCAAAGCTTTATTTTAACATGCTAACATTTAGGCAAACTTGACACAAAGGTTTATTTTAACATGCAGCTCTACAACTGACTTAAAATGACAAGAGATCGTATGGATGCTGAAGAATCAAGGCCTATTGATCTGCCTAAATGTGCAGATCCACTGCTGACACAAAGAAGACAACACAAACATGGCTGGGGAAACACTGACCTTCCATTTACATACATATAGACCAGGGGAAGCACAACTGAAATAAACCATTCACAGATGAACGGCTTATGAAGAGGTAGGGAATTGTATCAGCCTAACGATGCCAGGGCAAAAGTGTGTCTGCGCATGCATGAAAAAAAATTTAAATATTTGGAATATTGAGCTTATCTTCCTGTGCACAAATTCCTTTCTTACACAGTTGTATAGTTTTCTTGTCACTTAGAGGTAAACAGAAGAGACAGAAAGCAAACTACTGACATTAGTGACAAATGTGAAACAATGAGTTTCTCCTCTAAATGACAACAATAATATTTTCATTGAAGAGTTATCATTTCCTTGAGTGCCATACCTGTTGAAGTTAATGTCTGGATAACTAGAATACTCAGACTTCATCTTTGCATTGCGACGTGGAAAAGTACAGAAGAAAGCATTGGCTAGAAAACTAGCAATCTGTTCCTGTGACATTGTGATGGAGTGATTCATCTTTTGTTTCAGTAGAGGTATTGGCTACCAACAAAAGAAGTGAGGGGGAGGGAGGGGCAGGAGAGAAGGGAGGGAAGGAGAGAGAAAAATAATTAGCTTACCCATTTAAAAAAAAAAACAAAAAACAGGAGCACAAAATTACATTTGTTAAATTAGAGCAAGAGTAATTTAGGCCATTGGTGAACCCTTTAATCAGCAGCACCATTAAAGTCAAGAACAGTTTATTCAAGACAATTTGGAAAAAGCTTGCTTGACAAACTGCAGATTTCTAATCAGTAATAAAAAGACAGACCAGCAAAACACAACTTATCAAACAAAACCATGGGGAATGGAGAGGGGAAAAATAAAATAGATGGGATGTTGCCAATCACAGGCAACTTTAAAATCTGAAGTAAAAACCCACTTGCAATAGCTGTACAGTTAAGCCCCTTCAGGAGTGCCTTCAGCTACGATATCCATGCATTATAATTCACAAAAACATGGAGGTCACACCACAGATCACTCTGTGACTTGCTTTGAAGTTTTTTCCATCCTACTTGAAGAAATAACACCGAGATCTGAAGAAACTGCATGGTTATTCTTTCTTTTATAATCAGAATGAACAAAAAGCTCTGCTTCACTTTGGTCCTCAGTTTGGAGTTTTATTTGACTCTACGAAGGGTTTCTATAATATAAAAAACCAAAGGGGCAGAAGGAACCAAAAAAGCCTGGAAGTGTTGGACATCTTCCATTTTATCAGGCTTTAGCCTCCTGATTTGGAATTTTCACTCACCACATTCATGGCATTTTATTTTTTTGAATTATGTGGTAATACTGGGGGGGTGTAGAAAAACATCCTCCTGACTGCTAAGGAATCCAGTAACAATTATGATAAACCCACTTGACAGGAGAAAGAGAAAAGCGTTTTCACCTCTTCTTCCAATACTCTCTGCCATCATCATTAGCCTAGCTCCAGGAGAGCTGAGCAGCTACTTTTAATCCTGTTAGCTGTGAATACAGAAATTGCTACTAATTTAGACTGTTGAATACACAGCCCTGTTTACTCCAAAAAACCCCAAGTTTTCCTTCATTCTTATAACTGCTACATTCACTGAATCTCATTCTGTCTTCTGGATATTTAATTAACAATCTACATTATGATGTCTTAAGTCACACAGCTAGAAGGGAAAAAAAAGACTGAGAAGATCTCTCTAGTAAGTTCTACAGGCCCATAAAATTAGGATATTTTGGACAGCATGTTATACTGGGACAAATTTAGCTTTATGTCTAACCAGAAACATGAGTCTGACAAAGTTCTTCACAATTTACCTAACAGTACAACCTAACAGTACATCATCTTTATTAAAGGCATTACTACATGAACTTGCAAGCCTTGATCTTGACTTTGTGTTCAGATACTTTACAGCAGTATAACTTCCCCCATCAAGTGACTAGTAAAGATATTTTAAAGATATATTCATAGTATCTACTGTAGGACTCCTGCATCATGTTTTAAGATTATTCAGGTATTTCAATTCATAAGTGTGATTTTCAAACCTGAAAGGTTTCATGGTCATTTCATTTAAGAACAGCAAGAAGCAAGTCCAGCATATAGAAAGTGTTACTGAAGGTGAGGCTAAAAATATGACAGCGAGATAATATTTTTTTACATTCTATTCTATCGTTATACACATGCATTGTTCATTCTGCTCCCTAGGCCTCAGCTACATTCAACACAAAAACTATTAAGAACATGATCCTGATGTTTTGACCTTAGCCATTACTTAGTTTGCAGAAAAGTGGTCTGCCACAGAGCACCTGGCTAGCTGTGTTTACTTACCTGGGTGCAGATAGTCGGGAGACAGAGCGCCAGCTTGACCATATCGGGAAGAATGGACTGGAACAAGTGCTGAGCCTCTGCATCTTCAAGAACCTGTTAAAAGGAAAGAAAAAAAAAGAAAAATGTCTTTTTACCTCAGAAACAATGATTGCATGAAAAGTTTGTGAAAACAGAACCCATCAAAAAGAAATGAGAGAAAAAATTAGGTCCTATTAGCTTCTGTGGCATTTGCCATGGTAGTACTGCATTTTACTCACTGCATTTTACCCTGCAGTATTCCACTCACGGAAATACAGAAACAATCAAAAGTTGCAGCTGAGGAAACATGTCACCAAATGCCCTATAAAGGAACCTTGAATAAGTTCTTATTGGACTCTTTCCAAAGCAACAAACCAAATTCTTAACTGACAAAAATCACTATCTAACCACAAAAGTACTGGAATGATTTACTTGACTTCCACATCCAGGTCACAGTCCAAGCCAGGGACCTGTGACATCCCCCCTGCCAGCGCCCGGCTCAGAGCAGCGGTCCTCAGCAGCAGCAGCGGGAAATGCTACGGAAGCACAGCCTGCAAGCCTGGGCACTTTCTGCTGGCCATCCCTACCACGTCCCTCAAGGACTAGAGCTGCTGGGTTAAATATGCGAAAGAGTGCAGCCTGCCTGGTCCCACAGGCTGAAGTTGCAATCTTTTCAGTCTCTTCCTGCAAGACAGCTAATCCTGTGACTACTGTAGCTGCCCCTCTCTACTCGCTCTAACATTCTTCCTGAGAAGGAGAGACTAAAATTGAAAACACTCAAAAAAAAAAAATAAAAATGGACACACACCAGTGTTTCACAAAGCTTTATACTCAAGATCAAGTCACACCAAACCCTTCTGTTCCTATTCTCAATCCCCTTCCCAACACTGTCGGGACCACTGTAGACACGTCTGGCTGCCAAAGCACATCAGGCCCATGGATTCAGAGAAAGTCCAAGACCCTCTAAGTTGCAACTGCCAGTTCTGAGCTCAACATCGTGTACCCAGGGTTTAGATGAACCCACCCACACCCCCAGTCATGTCCCACACACCTACTTTTACAAGGTGCAAAACGTTCTTTAAGCGGGCAATGCTCTTCTAAGACAAGTTGGGATAGGCACATGAATGGGAGGTTGTGGAAAGCAACATAAAGCAGTGCAGCTGCAATAGGCAAAGTGCACAAAAGCATGCCAGATCCTCAAATTCTGCTGTGTGAACAGGCTGACCTGCGATCAAGAAGAGAAAAGCACATTCTCCATCTCTCTGTGCAGTGGTGCAGTTTTTCCCCTGATACAGGGATCCAGGCACCAGATGGGGACTAACAATTACACATGAAAACTACAGCAGACCAAACAGATCAAACAGCATCAAGGTATTGCCGACTTCAGTCTCTGCAACTCTTAAAAGACTAAGTGTGAAATCACAGAAAGTGATCTTCTCAGTCATACAACCAAACCTTTGTAATTCATATTTTAATGGGAAGTTTCACACAGACTTCAGAATGCAAAAAAAGACACTGGCAATTTTCTTGAGAAGAGGAAAATACGGTGCCGAGGATTCAAAGCATATTGTTCCCCATAAACGCCAAGCTGAAAATATTGTTTGAAGGCTAACAGCTTCTGTTCTTCCAAGATCATTAAAATAACTGTAGAAGTATCTCTGCTCTATTCCCTCCTGTTCCAAGTGATATAAAGGGGTAAGAGCTCTGAGATAGTTACGAAACACAAACAAATGCTCAAAGGACAAACAACTTATGGGAGGAAGGGGGGAAATAAAACAATCCCAAAACCTACAGTTCCTTTCCATGCATTATGTATGCTGCTTATGGAGACGTACAAACAAGGTTTTAATTTAAAGTTTTCAACTGAAACAAGAACTTACAAAGAACAGCAAGCCTAGGAAACATGAAAATCATATGATATTGTAGAGGAAGAAGCCATGTAATAGTCAAACTTTTACTGAAAGTCAACTTTTTTTTTTAAGGTTAAGAAATGAACACGATGCATCTCTCCTGTTGTTGGCTGCATATGCACCTAAATATTTACATGGTATAAGTCAGACAGTGAAAATTGTGACCTAACGTTTAACATCACCTGCTCCAGATGGAAACTTTGCTCTGCTTTTAGGCACAATGTTTTTAAGTGCCATAAAGTAACCAAAATGAGCATTTAAAGACCAGAATTTCAGATCTCAATCCATAAAGTGAATACGTAAGTTAAATACATTCAAAAGATGACATTTAACCTCAGATGTCTACCAGGCTGTCAAATTCTGCTATTCTCTCCCCTTTGGGTAACACTTCCTCTCTTTCACAGTTGACATATAAATAGTGGCTGCTATGCTTTGCTGACTGCCACAGACTATACAGTATCACTTATCTGGTGACACATTATGGCACTGGACTTTGTCATAGCTGTCAAGACTGCAACCTTTTCTTTATGCTCCTTTGAAAAGAATATAATGATTAGTATGAGACAATTTCTTTCCATAACAGAAGCAGGGCCAGTAACTGCACAGCTCAGTTCTGATACAAAATTCCTAACTGTGAAGTCCAATTCTCAAATTCTACTTTTCCTTCTCCTTACCTTCCTAACGTTGTACCAGAACACACTCTCCTCTACATTATTTGCATGTATGACTATTACTAGACCCCCACTAATGACAATCTCCCAGAATTGTTCTCATTGCACTTCAGACAGATTATTCTTACACGTAAATAACAAATAAGGTGGTGGAGTTTTGTGAACTGCTGTGTGCCGTGAAAACCTTACTACATTTTCACAAGTCAAAGAACGCCACAACTTGAAAAAGATGATCAGTGTGAGTGCTAAGGTCACAGACCTGGCCAAGAAACTCCTAATTCTACATTGCTCTCCAAGCCACCAAGCAGTCTAAGCATCCCTGTCTGGAATACTCCCCTATTTAGGCAAAGGTCTCCTAAATATGGCAGGGAAGCACATCAATAGTTTTCAATCTCAAACACAGTTTGTTTCTGCCTGGAAATGTTGTAAATTCACAAAATAGCTGCCGCAGGGAACAACTGAAGAACTCCGCTGTTCAGCTGCATGCGCTTTTTTAAAAAAAAAAAAAAAAACAAAACTCCCCTCACCTTTCTCCCTAAAAATGACTCATTGTAAAACTATTCAGTCCTGTGCTTCCCATTTATACACCCTGAAGCTATAACCCATTATTGAACAGTGGCAGTAAGCCAGAAATATGTATCCTTCCTTGAATTAAGTTTCTAAAAAACCTAAGCCACTTCAGTCACGGCCACATCCATGTAATCATTACCTCCCCTTCCTGCCCATGGACAGCTCCTGTACAGGGAACATTCCTGTGAGGTTTCTCTGACAAAGAACCCCTGGCTGCTTGGCCCTCATCTTCTGACCACTAAACTAGCATGCCACCACAGCTGTAGCTTTGCAGACCAACCACTGCCACCGCATATTCTCAGCCATGCTCAGTGCAACACAAAGCCTGGTTTTATCTGTGAGTCTTTTCAGACTTTGAAAACAGCAAAAAGAGAACCCTCAATCATGGAAAGTAAAAGGATTCCAGGACATGGAGTGCTGACACCACAGTGCATCTGACAGCCATCCCACGATACAAATGCCAACCTGGGAGAACCTAGCAACAGCACAGAGAATACCTGGTCACAGAACTTTTATCTACGTACAACCTTCTTCAAGGCTACAACTATGCAAAGATTAAGAGGAAGGATTGGATTTCCACTGTTAAAAAATAGCATTTGTGTTAACTCCAGGAATTCTAAAATACAAAATGGCTGTCAACAATTTTTGATAAAGAAAATACATGAAGTATCATAGCAGTTTTGGTTTTAAACAACTGATCAGTTTTTCTCCTTCCCTTATGATGCACACATGTTCCTTGCAGCTTCCTTCGGGGAAATAAAAACAAAAATACATCGTTGAGTCTATTCATAGTCCTCCAATCATGCAAAAAATTTAGGAATGAAATAAAAGCAGGGGTTATACCCCAAAGGAACAGTATATGGAATCAGAGTTGCAAAGCATGACTTGCCTTTTGCCAAAGAAATCACTTGGTGATTTCATCTGTATTTGCACTGGAGTGACTGACTAAACGAACATGACTTAGGGCTCCAATTCACAAGATGCAAATGGTTCAGCGAGCCGTAGCAGAGGTAAGAGCTCTTGGCCAAACCTGCATTGCGATTTTGCAAAATGAACATTTATACTGCAGCAGAGGCCTGACTAAATGCCGCCGTAAGTAATGGCCTCGTGTCACTATAACCCAGTCCTCCAAAACGTAACGGGCGAGTACGCCTGACAGGCCTAACAAGAAGGATCTGAGGTAGCGTGGGGTGACGGTGATGGGAGAGTTTAAATCTAAATCTGACAGCTCATCAGACCAAACAAACTGCACATACAGAACACAACTTCGGACAGCTCGCTCTATCACATGGGCAGGGAGTCAGCACGCCAACAGGCGACCAGCACACTAAGACAGCAATGGCTTAATGCTTTCATTTGTTTGGGTTTATTTCCCCATATTAGCTTCTGTGGCACGACAAGGACCAACTGAACCACATTCTTAAGGATGAATGGGAAAAGCAGAGTGCCTCTCGGAGGCTTGGCATCTTATTTCCTAATAGATTTTGACCTCCTTTGTCCCTCCCAGCTGACTCGAGCACTTTTCTAAGAATGACTTTGTTTCAGTTTGTGTTTCTAAGTGCTCTGTATCATCAGTTACTATACTGAAGCATCTCTGCAGTAACAGCTTTCCCAATTAATGTAAGATATCACACGGTTGGAGGTGGTGATAGCCTCCTAACTAATTAAACAAACCGTGTAACTTCTATGTACTCTAGTCACAGTGAGTTAATTCTCCTCATTTCAAGAATAATTTTTGTCTTTTTCTTTCTTCACTATCTTCAATTTGTCTCAAACACACCCAAAAAAATCTCTGTATATTTTTACAGGGCACTAGGATCCACATGATGAATAATTAACAAGACTGAAACCTAGACGCAAAGTGGGGGTCAGGGGGGTGGATTTTAGTGCTCACTCTGTTAAGTTAATGAACTTCCAAAACTGC